ATAATAATATTAAAATATAGTTTTACTTTTGCCATTCAGCAGCAGTCACCAATGCCCATAAACTTTTACTAGAAGCGAGACAATTTAAATGGTAATTTTCATTCCATCAAAAAAAGATTTTTTTTCTATTAAAGTTATTAAAATTATCAAGTAAACTTTATTTTTAGGTGTAAAATCAGGTTAAATTATTGTTTAAACTTTTGACATTCAGAAGTTGTCAATACCTGTAAAGTTTTATTAGGAACAAAGTCTTTAATGTAGCAACTTCTTACTAATGAAGAGACCAATTTTTTTTAATATTATAACTTTATAAGGTAAGTGTGGAGCACGCTTATTTCTATTGTTAAAAAATTAATTTGAATACTCATGAGGTTTATTAGGGGCAAAGGCTTCTATATTATATTACAATTTTAAGAAAGGCTTTACATGTAGATGTAAAATATGACATTTTTATCAATTGGAAGATTGGAGTCTCATTTATTTTAATAATCATCCAACAATACACATTTAATAGATAATTCGAATACAATGTTTTAATTATTCACATAATATATATATATATATAGAGGATATACATACATCTTTCACTTTCAGTAAAAAATGAACTTTTAGGATACCCTTTGATTTGAGGAAAAGAACATAAATCTCAGAGTCTTCAATTTACGAGAAGTTGAAAAATATAAAGCAAATTCTGATTGTCACAAAATATATTGAAAGATAGGTGTCCATGATTATGCTTCGCATAATTGGATATTTTATCATTGTCATTTCCTATATTCCATCAAATAGAACATTTAACATAAATTCGTCAAATAGAAGTGGCATATCAAAGCAAAGACAGTAGCAGTAGAAGTAGAAATAGTATGAGAATGTGAATGAGAATGAAACAGTAATGATAATGTTTGCTGATAACACTCATATTTTTGTGCTAAATCAAATTTGGTTGAGTTTCAATAAACACAATTCGTGTTTTAGCTCTGCACTAATATATATAAGCGCTTTTATAAGAGGAAAAGGATGGTTGTTAGGATATTTTTATAGAGAGATTATTAATTGTGTAGAATTAATTAAATTGGTGTAGAATTAAAAGAAGCGTGATGACAAAATAAAAATTGGGAAATTTTATGTAAAATTAAAATTTTTACAGATGTGCAACGAACACAAAAGCATTTTATATAATCAATTGCAATTGAGGAGGATGATGTTAATAATATAAGTGGTTCAACTATACCTAATGTTTTAATAAATGAAGATATAAAAGCTTTTGAAACTGCATTTAATTTCCTTGAACAAAATAATTTACGAGTAAATCAAAAAGTAACAGCTTATATCGGCCATTCATTCTCTTGTTTCAACGAATTTAGATGATTGGTCCATAAATTCGTTTGACTGTTTATAATAAAACTTCTTTATGAGAATATTAAGCCTATAGAAAAATGCCACCATCTAAGAACAACAACTCTAAGATCATTTTTGAACTATTTTTTTTTTTTGCTACAAAAAAATGAGACATACATTTATAGTCAAGACACTGGCTACAACTTTTAACCTAATCGCAGCCAGCTTTTTTATTGTGACAGGTATTCTTAATCATAATAAAAAAATTTATAAAGCGTAACATATTCGTTGTACGGAAATGTGCTCTCACCATTACTATTATTATTATATATTACGAGGCATAATAATAATAGCACTGATTCGTATTTTAAGGCACTATTACTATGCTAATAATAATAATAATAATAATGTATTTTCCGTGTGATTTTACGTATTAGTATTAGTATATTAATATTAATATTATAATTAGTATGTTTTAATCAAACAAATAAAATGTTTTGTAAGAAAAAAAAAATGTCCATTTTTATTTTTTACTTGATAATAAAAGGTCTGTTTTTATTTTTTTATTTGCGACTTTATAATAATATTCCAGAAATATAAAATCTTATTCTCATATCCCGTTTTAATTCCACATTTACAAATGTCCCTATATTAATATGGAAAAAATACGGATTGCTTACTCAATTGGTTGCAACTTTTAATAAACTGAACGTTTACGGCGATCACGGAGATATAGTGGAAATATTCTGGAATGTCATTATTTACAGGGCTAGAGATAAATAATATAGATTCGATTTGCACTCATTATATGTAACAATTATTTTTATTTCTTCGGACTTTGCTTTGCGCGTAAAGATATCTAGAGAGGTAAATAACATCAGTTCGGTTATGTGTATTAATTAATTGGCATATTTTCATGTATTTGTATTTAGAATAAAAAATATTTATAAAAAAATAGAACTGTATGAAAAAATATACACAAAAAATTATAATAGAGACAGTCAGAACCGATATATGATATCACAATCTGTGATTAAATAACGTTGATTAATTAAACTAGAATCATCAACTATATTACAATCAACTGTTGTTGTTGTTGTTGGATCGATTGTTGGACAGGTAGGATTTGATTCTTTGAGCTTTTGATTACTATTAGTATTATTAGTGCTATTTTTTCTTTTGGAGAAATCGACCATAACAAAGTTAGTGGCTCTTTTGACAGTATGGGAATAGTCATACCCGGGATTTAATTCTTTATGAATTACTCTCGATTGATATGCTATTTCTACGAATTTACTTTTTTCTTGTGGTGTTGCTTGCTTCCAAAGAAATGAAGCATAACGCGTCGCATGTTTCATATTTTTGCCCCATGAGTAACCATATAATTTAACTACTTGGTTGAAATTTATTTTATAAACCATGAAACTGTTTAGTGGCCTGTTAACCTTCTGAGATCCTTTTTTCCTTGAGGATAATGCAATGTCCCTAGCATTTACTAAAGGTTTATAAAATAAATCTCTATTACGACTTAACTCTTTTTCTAATTCATTAAACGGTAAGGGTTGTTTTTGTGACGATATATTAATTGTTGACATTTTTTTAAAAGATAAAAAATGATGAAAATATAAAAAGTGTAACGATTATGTATTTATTCTATTATTTATATATAAAATTTTTTTGAATTTTATTATTATTATATTATTATTATATTATTATTATTATTATTATTATAAAATTATTATAATAATTATTATTATTCTTGTTGTTGTTGATGTTGGTTAAGTTTAAGGGAAAAATAATTAGAAGAATATAAAAGATTGGAAAAGGTTAATACTGAAGGGTTGCAAATTTGGATAAGGCAGTAAAAAAAATTAATTTATGTTATGGAACAAATCAATCTTTTCTACTTGCCACTGCATTTGTATTTTTTTTTTTTGCAATATATATTAAAAAAAAAATAGGTTTATCAAGCAAGCTATTTAATATTAATATTAATACTAATATTATATTTAGTTAATCGATGTTTACTGCTCCTGAGAAGAAAAAAAATCTGTCATTTTGTCCTGTTTTTGTTTTATTATTATTGCTTTATTAAATATTAATATTAAAATACTTACAAATAAATTCGTGCATTGCCGTTAACTTAAAATCTTGTTTACTAATAAAACGTTTTTCGAGTTATGATCAACATACTAGAAATAATTTTTAATAAAAATAACAACTAGATCACATGAAATTTAGAATTTATAAAGAGTCTGGCAACAAAAAGCTATCCAAGAATTAATTCTTGAAGGAAGAGGAGATGTGATGGCAATAGATTATTAAAAGAGAGAATGGAATAGTTTAGAATGAGTGGTGAAAATTGATTGATTAATTGATTGTATGTTATTGGGTAGTTGGGTGGATGAATTGTTGTTGATTGGGGGTATGGTTTGATGGGAAAATGTATTAATTGGGTGGATCATGTAAGAATAATGCAATTTTATAAAGAGAAAAAGAAAGAATTAAGAATAAAGTTGCTTGGAAGATTTGGAGAAGAAACAAAGATTCAATAAGATATCGCTGATAATAAACAATAATGAAAACATTTTAACTGTTTTTTATTTACTTCATTTTTAATAATATTAATATTAATGAATTTATAATTATCTATATTTATTTGTTTACTCATTATTATGATGGTTGTGGTGATTATTATTATTCTATTTTCTTCTTTATGCTCCTCCACTATTTTTAAAGAAAAAAAAGAAATTTAATATATAATTTAATTATTCACCAATGTAATTGATTTATTATAAAATGATGTTAATACATACACAAGAATATTATTAATTGGAATATGAACTAATTTTACAAAAAATCCAATAAATCCCATTACAAAAAATCCCATTGCAACTGCTTGTGAAATCTTAATGAATTCTTTATACAATAATAATAATAATTATTATTATTATTAAATAGTTATTCTTATCATTCATATTATATTAACTATTAAATTACCTTTACGATCAGGTTTAGTGCATCGATTTACAAACTGAGTGCCTTCTTTGATAAATTGTTTTGGCATTTCAACAAATTCTTTTAATTGATCTGCCATCTTTATTATTGTGGTTGTTATTATTGTGTTGTTTTTATTTATATTAGAAATAATAAATGTTTATAATTAATTTATTATAATTTAATAAAATAATATTTGTTGTAAAATTTTGAGTAGGAAAATTTAAATATCAAAAAAAACATTTATATAATTTTTTAAATTAGTAAAACCATTCAAATCTTGCCACGAGGTTGGAAATTTAAATCGTGTAATAATATTAATAATGTACACAATGCAATTTTGGGTTTTAAATGTGCGAGTGATCTTGTGTATATATATATATTAATACACATTTATTTTTTATGTGAGAAGATGATCAAATTAATACATGTTTATTAAATTTTTTAATTGATTGTAGATCATGCTAAAATATAAGACGGACGAGTCCACTGAACCAATTCTAATTTGATACCATTGTCTTTTTTTTGGTTGTCTTCTCTTGAAAACCTTCTTTTTATTTACATCTAATTTAATTACTAACATAAATACTCTTAATTTATTCATTCACCTTTAATTTTATTCTATTCTCCTTTTCCTCCAAGTAAATAATAATATTATTATTGCAATGTCTTCTGTGCCTTCTGTACAACAAATTACTTCTAAAGAGATTCTCATAAAAAAGGCAAATTCTGGTACATCCATACCAGCAAATTATAGTACAACACCCTCAGGAACAATCTATTCTAATACACCTGGAGGTCAGTTAGTATTTAAAAGTTAAAAACAAATGTAAATGTATATAGCATAATAATAATCAGATAATTGTTAATTTAGGAACGAAGATAATTTATGATCGTAATACTTTACTTAATTTAGCAAATTCTCCACTTGCAAAAACTCCAACTAAATTAGCATACATTCCTGGTGTTACTATCCCACAAACAACAGACCAAGATTCTTCTGAAAAAAATGACTCCAACAATAACAAAAAATTGAATAGAGTTGCTGGTCATTTGGCACCACCTAATTCTAATTATCCTGGTTTTAAAAACATTTTGATTGATTCCAATCAAAATGGTAACATTAGTAGTGGAAGTGAAAGTGGTGATGAGGAGAATACACCAGGTAAATATTAATAATATATTAGTATTTAATGTTTGTAATATTTGATTAATTAATAAATATTATTTTACATATAGAACATAAAGATAATCATGAACATGGAGTATTTGATATGGATATGGAATAAAAATGTAGATGAATTAATTAATTGGATAATATTCATGTAGATGATTCTGATGAATTAATAATTTATTAATATTACCATCCACTTCTAACGCTACTAATGATGATCTTTTATTAAGAAAAAATTATAGAAAAATATGTAAAAAGTTATAATTCATTGAAATATAATAATTTGTAAAGATGCTATTGTTGAAATTTTGAAAATAAAATTAGACTTATTATTTCATTAGATTAATAATTAATTCTAAATTAATTTCATTATATATGACTAAACGACGTCTTTATATACTCTACATCAGGGTATGATAAACACGACAATGATCGACGCCATTTTTAACATTAAACAATACGTGGTGTTGTTTGACGCCTTGTTAAGTGTTGTAAATTTATTATAAAAATTTTTCCATTAAAATTTTTTCTACACAATTTTATAATATTTAAAAGTATTTATATTAGAATTTAATATAATCATGTATTTTTCCGCAAAATCATCCAATTTCTAAATAAGGATAACACGCACCCAACCCACCAATAAAATTGGATACTTTCATGATGCTGCGCAAATTTGCGGATGTTTTTTGCGGAAAAATACATGCTTTTTAATGACATATATACCTTATTATTATTGAAAAACAGGGTTGGCACAACGTAGACTATTGATAAAAGGATGTAAAGCATTAAGACCTGGGATTTATAAATAAAATTTACATTACTACTCTTACCAAATATTATATTGCATATAATTTCTATTTTTTATTATTTTTTATCATAATGACCATCTACAATCAAACCTTTGTCACAGCGGACTATAATTAAATTCTTGTCACAACGGATTTTGAATAAGGTTTTCTTATTATTATGTGTTCCGTTCATCCTCTGTGACAAGATTTGACTGTATCATAATATAATAATAATCATCTATTATATAATAATAAAAAGTAGATTACATATATAAATACAATGTATTAAAGTAAAAAAAAAAAGCAAATTTTGTGTGTGCTTTTTAATTGACAATGGCTGTATGTATATATAGTGAAGATGTTTCTTTGGTTGCTCTTTCAAACGAACAAATTGAATTATATATTCAACTAGTTTAACATGACATCCCTGCTAGCCAGATTGATTAGAGATAGTTCATATACAGGCGAGCACTATTGTTTATTATTTGTGATAAAAGCATGTAAATGAATAATGTTATATTATTATGTTGTAAATTGTAATGCATATATGCATGATAAATTGATAGAGTCCATTCCAACTTTGTAATGTTACACATAATACTGTAATTTCCCAAAAAAAATATTTTATTTTATCTTGTCATTCTAAGAAAAAAAATAAAACCAAGAAATTTAAAAATAGAAGTATGAAAAAAAAAGTCATAAATAATAATAATAATAAATCTATATTAATACATTTGAACAAAATGGAAAAAATATGTTAATACACCATTTCTCCGATTCATCACATCGTCGTCATCATCGTTGTTATTACAAATAATAAACGAGTAAATAAAATCAAATTCAATCCCATTTTTATTTAAAGATATCTTTTTTTATTTTTTGGAAAAAAAATTAAAATTGAAATTTTTAAATTATTCAAAAATTTTTTAAAATAAAGGATGAATCGGAAGTCAAAACCAACCGATTACTCTCACCTCATTACAACATTTAGTAGTAATAATCGCAACTATATTAATAACAATAACATTAATAATAACAACAATAACAGTAGTAACAGTAGTGGTAGTAGTAGTGTTAATAATAGCATTGTTAGTAATAGTCTTTCGAGAATAATAAATCACAACGATGAAATTCAACAATTAGAAGACGATGGTTAGTTGCATTTCTAAATTAGTTAATTTATTTATTAATTTCTTCTAAATGAAATGAATTAAATGATTAATAACTAATTTCAAATTAAATGTTTTAATTAATTGGATGGGTTTAATATAAGACTTTGATCCTTCTTTATTACCACTTCCCGGTATGTATACTACTAAAAATATTTAATTTTTGAATGGGTTAGTTAGTTAATTAATTAGTCAAATTAAAATATTTAATATTTTAATTAGAGCATTCAACTAAGACAGCAACACAACGTATATATCGAGAGCTGAAGATGATTGTAAATAATCAAAATAAAGCTTCTAATGACTTGGGTTTTTATGTTAAGCTTGAAAACTTAAGATCAGTTTATCAATGGGTTTGTAGTCTCAATATTTATTTGCTTGGAAAAAAAATTTTTTTTTTCTTTGATAAAATAAAATGTTAAACATTATTCAAATTATAAGGTTGTGCAACTTAAAAATTTTGATCCAAGTATTCCATTAGCTCAAGATATGGCAGCACATAATGTTACCAGTATTGATCTAGAAGTTAGATTTTCTCCTGATTTCCCCGCTTTACCACCGTAAGTTTCCGTTTAGTATTATTTAAAAAAAAATTTTTAATAATTATTAGTTTAACATAGCGATAATCTGATTGATCTCTATCAATATTATTATAGATATATTCGTGTAATAAGACCAAGATTACTAAGATTTCTTAATGGTGGAGGTGGTCATGTAAGAAAAAAAAAAAAAAATAACAAATGAATTTATTCCAAAAATTTTTTTCGCCAAGTATTATATTCTGGCAAAAAAAAATCTAACTTCTTTTTAATATTGATGTTAAAAATGTAGGTTACAGCAGGAGGATCTATTTGTATAGAGATTTTAACATTGGGCAATAGGAATGATAAAGGGTGGTCGTCCGAGTTCACTATAGAATCAGTTTTATTACAAGTTAAATTGGCATTAAGTGATTTAAGTCCACCTGCAAGACTTGACAAGAATTGGAGAATTGAATACAGTCCAAGAGTAAGTAATCTTTATTTATTTACTTATTATATATAAATGAAATTGTAACAATAAGTATCAATTTATGAATGCAAATATATAACATTTATAAATATTTTATAGGAAGCCATGGACGCATATATTAGGGTAGCAAGACAACATGGTTGGGCTATTCCACCTCAATGGTCAACTTTATTTAGACATTAAAAATTGTGATTTATTATAATCATCATTTTTGACATTTTATCTATTTATTTATTGTAGTATATTGTAAAAAAAAATTATTTATTTATTTATTTATTTATTTATTATTATATATTAATTATTCTAAAGAGTCTTTTGTTCCAGTTTTTTTTGCGATAATAAAAATATTGACATCTCAATTCTACTATATAAGAATCTTGCTATTATATAATCATCTTTAGCTTTTCCAAGTTGCAACGTCACCTATTCAAATATTAAATATCCCTTGCCTCTTTTTCAAAGTTTATTATTAAAGCACTACTATTAGTAGTAGCATATTTCTATCATCTCATCCATCACCATTACTTTTTACTTAATTTTCTGATAATGACAGATTTAAAGTGAATAAAATAGGAACCTTCATTACTTTTATTATAATTTGTTGTTATTTGTGATTTTCTAGGTCAAGAAAGAGGCAGCAAGCTATATTAATATAAAAGCTTTCAATTAATCGACGAGTGCAGCTAAAAAGTTAACTCGAATACGTAAAATAATTGAGGTTGACCGAAAATTACATTTAAAAAAGCTTAGGGGCTTTAAGTCCAATCCCATGATTGGACTGCCAATCCCGGACCGGGCCGGACTGTTAAGGACCGATTGACATCTCTAATATTTATTTCCGGGTTGATATTGCAATCATTATAACATTCTTTATATGTACAAGAAAAAGTAGAAGGTGGTAATTAGTCCATTGCAAAAAGTCATCCAGAATTGCAAATGCATTCTTACTCTCTTTAGGAAAGAAAAATTTATCTAAAGGAGTGTATTGAAAAAGGAAAAAGACACTAGGAAATAACTCAACAAAAGGAATAACCCAGTACTTAACCTAATCTGTACTCTTGTCTGCCAATATGGGGAGGGGGTAATGTTGCTAGCCGATTAGCAGCAGCCGCGACTAGATTTCAGTCGTAAACCATTAAGCCTTAATATCACTGTCGTAGCTTAATTCAATACTTTCAAAAATGTCAATAGTTAACAGAATTTTTTATTACAAACTTTGTATATAAATATATAATTTTTTTATTAATATAAAGAAATATAATTTTTTTTTAAAACAAATCGAGTCCATTTGTAGAAGAGAACTTGCTGATTTTGAACGTGGTACTGTTTATGGTATATGGAAAGGAAATATCAAACTTGACGAGTTTTTTTATTTTGTTCGCAAGACATGAGATTATGATTTTTTAATGATTTTAGTCGTTTGGCAATTATTCAAAAACTGCTTTTAAACAAATAGTGAAAATTATCAATAAAATGTATTTTGGTACATTCTAAACATTCTTTACTAAGATGAAAAGATATGTTTTGTGTTGACTTTATTAGAATGGTTGATGAAATATTTAGCGGGAGGGGAATAGTTTCATCAAACCATTGTTGATTTAGTCACATTTGACGAAATTGACGAAATTGAAATTGATCAATTAAGCCGACCAAAACTTTCATAAACAATGATCAAATATTGATTTTATATATATCAGTATGGTGATGTTACTAAAGGATTCAGGGAATCCCTTGGGTTATCAGCATGATAAAAAAGAATTGAGAATAATTATCATGGTAAATACCCAATGTCGCTCTAGATATTGAATTGCTATATAAAATCAAGATTGGATGATAAAATGTCATGAATAACACAAACAGGCAATAATCAATAAAACTATTAAAACCTTAGGTTCTCATCGCTAACTTTGTCCAAATTTGATGCATGATATTAATATATATATTGGAACTATATTAAAAACAAATCAATATACTAATTACTGTATATATCAGTGTTGAAAATTCGTCGATCTTATGTTCTGCAAAAAAAATTTTGTGCACATATGATCACAAGAAATTTTTAAATTAAATAGTTCTATGAATTAATTCTCCTATTTTTTTTATCTTCCCGATATTCACATGCTTTCTCAAAATTAAAGTCTTTAATTTCAGGTCCATTTAGTAAAATCATCAAATGATTATTTAATGTATCAAGATTCATTTTGTTCCTTAATTTATTCT